TCAAGTGTTTTAGGTAAATTAGTTTTAATTAAATCAAACAGTTTTAACTCTAAAAAGAGTTCATTAAGACCAACTAATTAAACAACGAACTATATTAGAAAAGTAGGTACAAGTAGTAGATTTTGGTTCCACAAAAGTGTTCTTCAGCTAAACAAACGAACATGTTAATTGTTATTATAGAGCAAACTTATAAGCTAATTATTTCTTAAATAAAAAGAAATGAACTAAAACCACAAAAACACAAGTTATATAATTGAACAAATCGTATGTCATCCTCAGGGGTTTGGTCCTGAAGAATTCTTCTGTCATTGTAAAAGAGCCTGATAAATTTGCTTGAATTATGTTGTTCTCCATTGCATCCTTATAGACTATTAGATATTGCAAAGATTTTCAATCAGGACCAAAATGCTTGGTTAACAAATTGCCAATGGATTGTTTCTTGTAGTTATTAACAGTACACCTAGAGACTAGTTTGTTTGGTGCGATGGACAATACTTTTTTGCCTTTTTTGTAGACACTTCTAGCCATTCCTAAATTTGTGCGATAGTGTGCTTTTCCTTGAATTTAAGCAATATTCTGACTATGGTCTCTTGTTATCAAAAATCCTTTTGTTGGATTGAATTGAAAATGCCAAGTTCCGGGTGGTTTGATAATATTATTTTGAATAGCCGCTTTCCAATCATAGGCATGCCAGTTTTTTCCCAAAACCTTTTGTGTTGAACAATCTTCTATAATGTTGTAATACTCTCCTGGGTCACAGATTGTTGTATTTTTTTAATCACACATTCAATTAGACCAAAAATCCGGTCGGGAGTCATGAAAGAATGGCCCACTATAGGAAAGAAAAATTCAATTGTTTTTAGATGGACCGGGGCATATTTTATAAGCCAGAATGAAAGCATTCTTAAAGCTAATGAATTTTTGTTCTGTCCGCACGAGACCATGTGAATCGCAACACACGATCATGAGATACCACTTTCTTATTGATCACACGCACTTGGCGGTTTTTGCAAACAAACAAATCTGCAATTGGCGAATTATTGATAGTGATCTGAGTTTTTGATGCTCGCTGGTAATGTTAATGTCGGGTTTTGGGAAAGGATATCTTGACAGAATGCAGATATCAGCATTTCCTGTCGAATGACAGTGCTATCTCGATTTTTATTATTTTTGCATTTGACGAGGATTGCAGCTAGACGCACATATTTGTGGATTCTGTACGCAAAATAAAAGAAAGTGGCTCTGAAGTTGCAATATGGAACTTCTGTGGATCCAATTCGTACGATCGTCATGGCGTTGGAAGAGCAAAAGGAAGCCTTTTTAAAAGTGGATTGCATCGGTACTTCCTGTCCATCGATAGTAAAGTGTTTTCAGCGCGATTCCATTTTTTGAGCCTCTTCAATTTATTTTCGACAATGCCTTAAAGTTTGTTCTTAACAGAGTTTGTTTTTTTTTCGATTTTTAGAAAATCTTTCTTAGAGGAGTTAAGCAGTTACGACTGACGGAAATGAGTAACGTAGCTTTTCGTAATGAACATGTCATGTAAAATCAAAAAACCTAATAACTCGATTTTCAATCTTTTTCGCGGTATAGTTAGTGTGGGATATAAAACACAAAGAATTATACAAAAAATTGCTCTAAATGTACCAAACTTCTTTTGCAGGCGTTGATATCTTCGAAATATGCAGCGTTTTTCAAAATTGATGCAAACATTCTATATTTTAGCGGAAAAGTGACAGTTGGAAATTCTAAGAAGTGGGCTATCTTTCAAAATAACGGACTGGCAAGCTGTTAAATTTGAGCGTTTTTGGTACATTGTATCGGTTATAGCTCAGCAATCGATCATAAGAATGATATTATGTAATATCAATCTTCTTCCCTTAGGAGGATCTATCCGAATATACAGGGTGTCCTGAAAGCCATGGAGCAAATGAAAGGGGTTGATAGGGGGCGAGTCATTAGCAATCAGAAAAATTATTTATTTATGTCCTTATCCGATTGTGCACGGTTTTTTAGATATCGCCATTTTTACGAATTTGTGGAAAATCGCTGCCCTTGAGATTGAAGTATTTATTTCTGAAGTTGTCTTTTGTTATTTTTTAGTGAAAATTTAGTTCAGTTAATGTAGGTACCGCAATCGCTAGTCTGCAATTTTGTCTGTTGTCCTGTACAAAAAATTAGTAGGCGGATAAAATGTAATGGATCATATAATCAGTCCATAGACCAACAATGCAATCTAGCCTACCGTACGAACAACAGTACCAACCATCCAGCAAAGTCGGAATCTAGTACGGGACTACACGCACGATAGCTCAACTCAATCATCCCTATCGCTAGCCATCCAAAGCAGAGAGGCGCGCCCTCGTTACGTTGTCCGGCATGCGTACATCGAAGATATATATCTATAATTCGTTTTTTAAGGGCAAATGTATGGGGAAATCTTTGATTTATAGGTGCGTAAACTTGCCTCTATTAGAAAGGTTTAAATTGCTACCATCAAAAAATGTTCCTTATGATGATGAGGGGCCTCTGATTGTTCATTTATTTTTTAGTATCTTTGCCCCTATTTCTGGCGCCGCTGAACCTTGCGTTAAAATTTCGTTCAAATCCGAGCAGTAGTTTCCAAGTTGTATTCGGTCCAAATACTATCGGACAGACAGAGATACAGGCCGACAGAAATTAGTAAAATGGGTTTTCGTGATTTAGATATAACTTCCACAAGACTTAATACCTCATTTTTCTCGATTACGGTACTTCTTCGCCCGGGGCGTAGCAAGTAAAATGTGACCTTTCTGAAAAGCACTGTATTTTCGGAAACGCTAATTTACAAAATTGCATAACGTAAGCCTAGGAGGAGACACTTTTAACGCGCAACAAAGCTATTTTTTCTAGTCAACTTGGTTTCTTGGTATTTCTGTGACATAAAAAGCAGACTAATCTCATTACACAAAAACTGCAATTAAGGTGCTCCAGAAAAAATGCCCAATTTTGTGCAGAAGTGGAAAGATAAATTTCACTTTCGTGGTTTTTGATAGAAATATCAAATGTTACAACAAATACCGGTGGCAGAGCATTGATTTCTGATACTTAAAAGCTCACGGTCACTTTCTCGTTATTTACGGTTTTATTTTATTCCATTGCATGGTACATGGTCTATTTTTGGGTAGTGCCAATAACCTGACTAGTCACAGTCGAACGGAATTCCAGATTACAGATTTTTGCGAAATGATGAGTATTTACTTCCCAGGTGTATGCGAGACGTTTATGATAAATATTCCAATCCAATCTCTGTGATATTGTGTAGAATATAAAAAATAGTGGGATAGATTCTCATAAAAGAAATACAGATACCTAAAGACCGCTAGTAAAAATTTTTTTTTGTTAATTACCCTCGAAAAATTGAACGAGTTTTTGATAGCATCCTGGCCAATGAGAGTCTCATTGGAAAATATTTTCTCTATCTCAGTTCGGTAGAGACGAACCAGCTCTGAGGTAATATGGAAAGAGATACACTTTTTGTTAGATTGCAGGAGAGATGGGATGCAATTGGTCAGGATCTCATGCAGGGAGATCTCAATACCGGTAGGAGATACAGCTTAGATTAAGTTAAGAAAAAGTTGCGTTCTTTGGGGCGTGTTCACATGCCGTTGAGAAATTTAAACGTTTCCTGGCTTACTGAGATATTTGAAAGAAAGTAAAATTTGGCCAAATATTTTTTATATTTTCTGGCTTTAATTTGAGAAATATCAAAAAAACTTTTCCATATGCAGTTTTTAGGCATTATATGATGGTGTTTTTAAATTTTGGTTGGGACGGTTCCTTTTTGAGAAACTATCATCAAGTTTTTTTTATATGGTCCTAAAAAAGTGCACCCTGTATCTAATAGCGTTTTTTATACGAATTCAACGACGTATCACATGTTACATTTATTTTCTTAGAAGGAAAAATGCATTTTTTCTGATTTTTTGTTACATTTTTCTTTATAACTAAGAAAACAGATGTAACAACAGATACAGGGTGTACTTTTTTAGGAGCATATAAAAAGAATAAAGTTGATGATGGTTTCTCAAAAACAAAATTTAAAAACACCATCATGTAGTGCTTCAAAAGTGCCAATGGGAAAGATTCATTAGTTTTTTTGATATTTCTTGAAATACAGTTAGAAAAAATAACAATGCGGTTTGGAGAAATTTTAGTTTTTCTCAAATATCCCAGTAAGCCATGAAATGTTTACAAGTTATTCGCCATAAAGAACGCTAGTGTTTCCTAATTTAGCCTGATCTTTATCTCCCACAGGTACGAGGGATGTCTTTTAAGTTTTGCATAGAGAAACATAGATAGTAGGCCGCGCGGATCGAACGTCAGTACTGAATGTTAACCTCACTCTTTAGTAAACTTAAATTCAAAGTTTCACAACAATACGTGCAGTGTTCTCACTACAGTGAAGTTTTAAGTGTCACCAAGTCATTAGAAAAATGGAACTCAACCGAGAACATTTTCGCGCCATAATTTATTACAACTTTCAGAGCCAATTATCGCAACAAGAATTCCTTGCTGAGTTACTGTTTTCGGCAACGAACCGCCACATCAGTCGACAATTTCCCGTTGGTATGCAGAATTCAAACGTGAACGGGTGAGTCTTAGCGACAATCCCAGGGTGGATGCACCAAAAACGACAGTCACCCAGGAAAACGTCGATGCTGTGCGCAAACTCATCATTGAAAATGGACATGTGACATATAAGATTGAGGCATCCTTGAAGATCTCAAAGACCTCAATTAAAAAAATTTACATGAAGAATTAGGAGTAAGAAAATTAGTTTCTCGTTGGATACCCCACCTGTTGACTGAAGAGCAGAAAGCAGCCAGGGTTAATTGGTGTCAAAAAACGCTTGACCGTTTCAATTCCGGAAACTCAAAAAATGTATACAGCATTATTAGTGGTGATGAATCGTGGATTTACTGTTGGAATCAGAAAATAGACGACAGTCGGCTGTTTGGGTGTTCCAAGGTGAAGAAAAGCCAACAAAAGTCATCCGTTCTCAAAGTGGTACGAAAAAGATGGTCGCGACATTTGTGTCAAAAGCGGATCATATTGCAACAATTCCTCTTAATGAGCAAAGAACTGTTACTGTGGATTGGTATACCACCATTTGTTTGCCAAAAGTTGTCACCGAGCTTCGAAAAATCAACCCCGAAAGAAGAATCATCCTCCACCAAGACAGTGCAAGCTCGCACACAGCCTAAAAAACAAGGCAGTATGTAACGAAAGAAAACGTGGAATTACTCGTATTGGACCATCCTCCATATAGTCCCGATCTAAGTCCTAACGATTTCTTTACTTTCCCGAAAATTAAAAACAGACTGCGTGGTCAAAGGTTCCGGTCACCGGAAGAAGCAGTTGACGCATTCAAAAATGCCATTTTGGATCTGCCAGCAAACGAGTGGAATAAGTGCTTCGAAAATTGGTTCGAGCGCATGCAGATGTGTATTAATCTTCGAGGAGAATACTTCGAAAAACAATAAAGTCATTTAAAACTACCTACCGCGTTGTTTTATTTCCATATGCAAAACTTAAAAGACATCCCTCGTATTTAGATCCCCATGCATAGGATCCTCATCTTAGATACCCGTATTCTTATGAAGTACTTACTGATTAGTTTTTATGCTGTCAAAATATCATTGAACTGTCGAAATGTCGTTCGCCACTTTTCAGTATTATCCTTCAGTGGCTCTTGTCTGTGCAGGGAGACCCCATAGAAACTTGTCATATTACTTTTGTTCTTTATGAATCCGAAGTATTGACGACATGAGTTGAGACATGCCTTATCTCATCAAAATCCTGCCTGAGTTTTTGTAACCGTATAATTTGGAAAATAAATTAACAGTTTTGACGAGGCGGCGTCATAATAGATAATACTTTTGTTTTAGAAAATCAGTTCATTAGCGTCAGTTATGAGTATCAAGCATGTAGGATGACTCTGTACTTCCCATGCAGTTCTGGACAAACGAACTTTGTATATAGGTATATCATGAATAGTATCTTAGCCAGCTTTTGTATGCTCTTTATTGTTTGTTGGCTATGAAAATCCTTATACTCTGGCATAGGGCCGTAGAGTAGAATGAATATCATTGAAAAAAAAGCACGTTGAATCATTTTTCTTACGTTCTGGTAGGTTTACTACTGATCGGCTTAGAAACCCTTTCGCTGGACATGCAATATGAACAACATGACGGAGATAAAGTATTGCGAGTATATAGTATATTTTTTGAAACAATAGAGGGCAACTTTCGTTCTGTATTATTTGCTTGAGGAAAAGGCATTAAAATAGATGATCTTTTTCGTTCCACAAAATGTCTACATATTCTCAATAAATTATATTATATTACCGTGGTTGCAGCAATTGTTACATCGCCGGGGCATCGTTGACCTCGAACAGCTGCTCGGATAAAAGTTCGTCGAGTGGACGTTCGCCTGAGAGCGACCAGAGGCTAGTGTACTTTATATACAAAATATTTCTACCATTTTAATCTTTACGGCAAATGTACGTGGTAATATATGAGTGAAATATGCCTCATAGTCGCAAAGAATTACGGGTATCAGAAGTTTGTAAATATACTGCCGTCAAAAAACCCCCACCACTCAAATTTTTAATCGTGTTTTTTTTAAAAATAATTGGGAACCTTTGATCGTCTGGAACGTCAAAAAATGAAGTTTGAGTGATTTTTATTTTTTTGTTTCTGGCATTTTTCTCCGCCGTCACTGTATCGATTTTCAAAACTTTTTCGACTTCCGCATAATTGTAACATTGTGTAAAAATTTCATCGAAATCCGAGTGATACTTCTCAAGTTATATTAGCGGACAGACCGACGGAAATGAGTGACATGGTTTTTAGTAACGTACATGTCATATAACACCCAAAAAACATAATATCTCATTTTCGAATATGTTTGCAATTACAATACTTCTCCGCCAGTAGGCGTGGGAAGTAAAAATGGAAATTTTACTTTCGCATAACATTTTGAATTTTCGTAAAACAATTTTATAGAAATCGTTTTGAACCTCGTCTATCTGAAAAAATTTCCAGATAGGCATTAACTTCGTTTTATGCCCTGCATTGGTGCCTGACGGTCCGTCATCAGGCGATTATCAGCACACAACATTTAATCTAATACGTCTTTTAATGAATAATTATCGACTAATAAAGTAAGTTTACGATGTCTGCCGATTGAAATATGGTCGCAAATATAGTAATAAATAAATAATTAGTCGGTGGTCGAGTTGGCACGTTTAGCCTACTTCGACGGCAATGTCAATGGCACACACGCATCGGGCGGAGATTACTCGGAGAGAGCGATGCAGTGACGTAGATTGTGTCGTATGGTTGCATTTTACATTTAGGCTAGGCCCTGGATGGAATCGAGCTTGCAAAATGCGAGGGCTGCACTTTATGAACAGATATCAAATGATAATGGGTTAAAGAATAATAATTTGGATCTTGCTGGACCACCTTTTGGGCCATTTTTACTTCCGACGCCTACTGGCTGTGAACTGTTATAATACCGAATATTTTCGAAAATGAGATTTCTATTATATTTTTTGGATGTTATATGACATGTATATCGTGGAAAACCGTGTCACCCATTTACGTCGGTCGGTCGGCTTGTCGGTCCGCTAATCTTATTACCGCCTATAACTTGAAAAGTGCGGCGCGCATTTCGATGAAATTTTTACACAATATTACTACTATATAGGGTCGCAAAACCTTTGTAGGCAAAAACCGGTTTTCAGTCCATCTTCATGATTTTGGGAAAAAAATAGTAGGAGCTACAAATTGGGGGTTAGGAGTTGTAGGGGGCGCGAGAGGGTATATCTCAAATTTTTGTCGTTGGTATACGAGCCCCTTCCCACTTCAGTTGGCCCAACTATTGAAATCTTAGTTTTTTTCTTATCAAACACAAATAATAAAAATGTAGCAGGGTGTTATGGGTTTAAAATATTAACAATGAATAGTTTGATAATATATAGGAGAAAACACCAACTTTATCACTCCCTAATCAAATTTGCAGCATAAAAATAACACATGTTGCAATTACAGCATATCAACCTATTTTCATTTCAATGCAAAATAAGTCTATAACGCATAGGTGGCTGTGAAAAATAAAAGCCATGGCAATTGTTTTTATTAATCACAGCTGTCAGAATACGTTTAAAATAGTTTTGGGTAGTTAAGGTTTTCAAAATGGGTAGAGGTACGCGGTACGGTGTGAGAAATATTGTTAGAAGATATAACGTAACTGGTACAGTTAATATTAAGCCACGATATGTAAAAAAAGTAATATCACAAATGCCGACCGAAGAGCATTAAGAAGAATAATCGTGAAAAACAGGCGTGCCAATTATTTACAATTAAGTGCTCTGTGGAGTGACGCTGTTGGAAGGAGAATTTCGAGGTCCACAACTCATAGAGACACCCACAAACTGGGATTTAGCACTTGCAAGGTAAGTTTTCTTATAAAAAAAGTGAGGTAAAAACCCTAAAGTTGCACAGCTTGTTTATAGGCCAAAGAAAAGAAACTATTAACTCCACTGCAAAAGAAAAATCGGCTTAGATGGGCTAAAGAACATAGACAAAATGGACACCTTAACAATGGTGTGTAATATAATGGAGTGATGAGGCCCGAATCGAGGTTTGTGTTGGTGACAGTGGCAGTAGAGTTATTCGCAGAAAAATGAAGCATTCCATGTTGACTCTCTGAAGAGAAAAGTGGAATTTCCAGCATCCATTATGGTCTGGGGCAGTATGTCATCAAAAGGAGTAGGAAAACTTCATTTTGTTGATGGAAATGTGGATACAAACAAATATTTGGCAATTTTAGAAGAATCGCTTTTGATGGAAGAATGTTTGACATCCGGCCAAGATTTTGTGTTTCAGCAAGATGGTCCAGCGTGCCATACCTCAAAAAAGCCTATAAAATGGATGGAAGAAAATAATGTACCACTTTTGAAATGGGTTTCTAGCAGTCCAGATCTGTCACTTATTGAAACTTTGTGGCACGAGATGAAAAAGGTTCTACGACAACATCCTGCTCGTACAATCACCGAACTGAGACAAAAGCTTCAAGAATGGGATTGTTTTACACCAAATGTTTGCCAAAACTTGGTTAACACTATGCCCCAAAGAATTTCAGCCGTAATAAAAGATAAAGGTGATGTTACCCAATGGTAATCTTTCAATTGTTGCTTTGTTAATTTCGCGCATTTATTCGCACATTGTTTATTTGTTCAGATGTTCCATTAGTTATAGGTCTAAGTGATTTCAAATATGTACTTTTTACGACCAGAGTATATCTAAAATGTTTTTGAGAAAATAAATTGTTTTAGAAGTAAATAGTTTCGTCATGTTTAGTTTATAAATGCATATTTTGGTACAAATCTTGAAGTGGGCCAACTGAAGTGGGGAGGGGCTCGTATGAACACACCTCCAACCCCAGTATTCTACGGACATATTAGGCATATTTCAATCATCATAGGTGTCCCGTACATTTACCCTTAAATCTTGTATCTCATACAATGGGGTGTCTGTTCGTGCGACGTCGTCCTCGGATGGACAAGCGTCATCGTAGGTGGACGGACGTCACAGTTGGCAGTCCTGCATGCATTGTGCATGGTGAAGGTCAATAGCGTCATTTACGCGGTATTGGTCATCGCATTTTCTTTACTCCCTTTCCCTCTTAGGTAATTACAACAAAGTGTTTTAAGCACCGAGCATTTTTCTTCTGATTTCTCTGATCATTCTCAACAAGAAAGGTCCCCTGTCACTTTATAATTAGTCCTTTTCGAGCTATAACTCATTTAATGTTTGAAAAACCCTTCAATGTTCGAACACCCGGTTAAAAACATGTTATTTGAAGTTACCAAATATTTAAATTAGGCCTTTCTCTACAAGACCCCGAGACCCCAGATTAATTTATTTTAAAGCGATTTTTAAGCTAGTTTATTAGACGAAAATTCGTGAACTGTTGATTTACGCAAACTGTTCAGACCAACTTCATTGAATTTTTGCTTGAATTAAATAAAATTTGAGTTAGCTAAATTTACTTTAATAACTCTGCAATTGATTGAACGAAGTGTCAGTCAATAATTTATTTGTTTCATTTAGCCAGTAACTAAAGGAATAATAACAGTTTGTTATTGTGGTTTCCAACGGTACACTCACCATATTTGTGTTTTACCTTTTGTTTATATCGAAGCAGCCGCGCACGCAGAAACCTAAACACCAGGGTACCGCGGCTGGTATGAGGAGCTTAAAGGACTTTGTTAAACCAACTTTTGAATAACCTGAGGTTATAAGAACTGGGAGAAGCCTCGATACCTTAGGGACAAAGGAACGGTCGTATCGGCCAGTTCAGGATGTACGACGTTAGATACAGTTAGGATGGGAGGTTAAAGTGCGGCGGGCCTGTCTGGCAAGCGCATCGCGCGGCGGCATCATGGAGGAGCAAAGCCCGTTGGCAAAGCAGTCG